ATCAAGTACATGTATTATTCAAACATACATCGACCTCTACATCCACGTGTTTACATCCACTTCACGCATTATTTAAAACATACATCGACCTCTACATCAACGTATTTATATTCACTTCACGCATTATTTAAAACATACATCGACCACTAAATCCACGTAATTACATTCACTTCACGTATTACCTAAACATACATCGACCTCTACATCCACGTGTTAACATTCACTTCACGCATGATTTAAAACATACATCGACATGTTCATCAACGTATTTACATTCACTTCACGCATTTTTTAAACAAAAATCGACCTGTACATCCACGTGTTTACATTCACTTCACGCATTTTTTAAACATACATCGACCTCTACATCCACGTGTTTACATTCACTTCACGCATTATCTAATCATACATCGACCTCTACATTCACGTGTTAACATCCACTACATGTATTATTTAAACATACATTGACCTCTACATCCACGTGTTTACATTCACCTTACGCATTATTTAAAACATACATCGACCTCTAAATCCACGTGTTTACATTCATTCACGCATTATTTAAACATACCTCTAAATCTGCATGTTTCAATACTGGAAATTCACAGTTGCGTGAACTGTTTTTACCTGGACATTTTACCCCGGTCTTGTACTCACATGACGAAATGTAAAGATCCGAGTTAGAATAATTGTTTTTCACCAACCCATGCTTGTCGTAAGAGTCGATTAACGGGATCGGACTAGAATTGGTCTTCAGAAATTGATTCGTAAGAGGTGACTAACAGGGTCGGGTGATCAGACTCGCTGACTTGGTTGATGCATGTCATCGTATCCCAACTGCGGTGAATAATTATGTCAATCACTGGATTGTCAGGTGCAGACTTGGTTTACAGACCGACCTCATATGGCTGAAATTGGTTGAATGAACGCAATCACTGGTTTGTCAGATTCAGATTTGCTTATTTACAGACCGACCTGGAATGGCCGGAATATTGCAGAATGCAGCGTTAAAAAACAAACAAATAAACTAACAAATCTGACATGACAGTGACTTAACGTGTGCTTCTCCTGATCAAAGGTATGAGGTCGGAACACCTCCAAATACCAAGCCATACAAATGTCACAAAAAGACGTGAGTCAGTGATGACATGATTTCTTGGCTGTCTTATTCCTTACAAATTAATTGGAAACGTTGTCTGACGGTTTCTTGTCAATGAAAAACATGACGTTGCATATGCTGTGTGCGGGATACCCAGGAGTTGACCTCGGTTTCTGTAACGTGACTATGCAAGCGTGGTGGTAACACTGCATAGGTTCTGCTGCTTCGCGGATACAGCCTGTCTCCGAATCAAGTGCCGACATGTCCTATCACTACTGTCATGATTATAACGAAATGTCGACGAGAAACATTAGAATTCAAGGTATCTTGATAAAAGTGACAAAACCATTTGCATAATCAAAGGAAATCTGGTAAAACCAGAGCCCAGTGTACGATTCCGACCATATCAGAAGCATGTGGTTATGATCAAATAGTGATGATACAGCTGTTCGCGAAAAGGTCAGCGTATTGTGCCTCACAGTTGGCATCCGGCACACACACATGCAAAGGCAAGTCAATTGTTCATTTGAAAAAACACGGGAACATATGGTACAAGTCAAAATAGGGAATTTCATCACACTTCTTTTTTGTTTCTGATGTGTCAAATTTTGAAAAGACATCCACGTCAAGGACACGCCAAGGCCTTGCATGTTGCAACCCTGGTCAAACAAGTTTTGATCAGGAGTCGTATGACGCTCTTTGATATATTCGTAGTAAGAATATGCTCTCCTGTACCTAAAAAGTTGTGGAGCTGCAGGAACATTGCTCGACATAAAAGGAAATTGAAGTCATCCCTCTTGTCATACCCCTTGTCTTTTGAATAGTTGTTGTCACTAACTGAATCTTTTTGCCGAAATATAAATATGAAGCAGATGAAATTTACACTGGTCTCTTTTATTTCTAGTTCAGGTTTGTAAATCAGTGGAAGGAATTGGCAACTAGGCGGTTTTTGAACGATATCAAATCATCGATATACCTGGAGCTTAAGTTAAACTCCCTTGTTTTGAGTTTGCCAATCTGAACTGATTTAGATATTCCGATCCATATGCATTATTACGAAATAGATCATTAAGGAGGGGATCACAATTGGTGCCCATTATGTCTTATCCCCAAATTTCACACAGCTGTTTCATCAATGAGGAAGTCAAGCATTTCACATATTGTTTTTTCATTCAACTTCAGATGACATATACTTTCTTTTTTTGACAAATTGTCCTGAACATTTGACGACAGAGGTTTAAGGGACCGACAAGTTGATATTGTGCGTGCGTGCGTGCGTGCTTGCGTGCGTGCGTGCGTGCGTGCGTGAGCGACAAGATGTTTTTTAACTACATTTGCAAAACCAGATATTTTATTTAATTCACAACTAGGAGGCAAAATATCGCCGTATAAATATATTCATGGTCACAACGTTAATAGAAAATGGAATTAAGTTTTTCGTTAAGTTTGCCGTGTGGGACAGTGATATACAAAGTTGAAAAATCAAACATTTCGACATAATTTAACATGGTTCTTGGAGAATGTGAAACGTCAAGTAAATTGTTTGTTTGCTGTTTAACGCTGTTTCAAGCTGTTTAACGTTGGTTAACGCTGTTTAACGCAATATCTTAGATATATGGTGCCGGGCGAGTCTGGACCAGACAATCCAGTGATTGACATACGCATTGAGATCCGGGAAACGATGACGACAGTCCTATTGATATTATGTTCCTTTATGTTCCTTGACAGTGGGAACAACCACAAACTTTTCATGTTGGGCTGTCAGATCTCGGATGGCAGCTGGCTGGGAGCAGATGCATTTGATGTCTTTTTTAAACAGATTCCATGCATGTTACAAAGTACCGTTAAACGAAAAGTAACACTTTCAATAAATTTACAATGCATGAATTATCGTGTAACGTACTCGTAAACCTCCATGGACGTTTCACAAGGGATTAAATAAGTACGATATACACTGAAACAACTCAGAAACATTTATTGAATATATATTTGCACAAAGGGTAGAACATCATGTTGAACAATGTCGCCCCGGTAGCGTACGGCATTCAATGATGAGTTGTGTTCTCTCATGAGTTGTGATGCCACCCCATACCATCACACTTCGACCCCCAAACTGACGATTTTTAGCAACGCGAACGTCGCTAAAATGTTATCCTGGACGCTGTCCAGATGAAACCTGCTTCGTCTGTGAACAGAATATTGGTCCATTCTTGTCTTCTGAACCTCAGATGCTGTTTTACACCAGGCGTGCCTGACGGTGATGCGGAAGCAAAATTGGGCGTTTAGCTCAATGTCGGGGCCAGATGTTATGTTCCCTCAACCGGTTACGTACGGTTCAGCCAATAATTCGTTTCAACCCTTGGATGGTCCTAGTTGTGGCAGTTTGGTGTCGATTCCGTAGATGCACCAACCGAATATAATTGTCTTTTTGACGTGATGTCACATGTGGATGACCGGCCTGTGGCAAGTCATGAGTGTTGCCGACCTGTGAAGATCCGGGGTAGAATAGGTCTTCAGCAACCCATGCTTGCCGTAAAAGGCGACTATGCTTGTCGTAAGAGGCGGCTAACGGGATCAGGTGGTCAGGCTCGCTGACTTTGTTGAGGCATGTCAATCGCATCTCAATTGCGTGTATCGATGCTCATGATGTCAATCACTAGTTTGTCTGATCCAGACTCGATTATTTATCGACCGTCGTCACATAGCTGAAACAGGACATGGTATATGAATCACTTTACTCCCAACTGATTGACAATAATTTCATGCCAGACCAGTTATTTGACTAGTACATGTGAGCCCCAGTGAAGATCTTGGTTAGAATTGGTCTTCAGTAAGCCATGCTTGTCGTAAGAGTAGACTAACGGGATCGGGTGGTCAGGCTCGCTGACTTTGTTGATGCATGTTATTATGTCCCAATTCCTTTGATCGATGCTCACGATGTCACTCAACGGATTGTCCAGACTCGAATATTTACGGACCGCCGTCATATATAGCTTGAATATTGCTGAGTGCGGCGTTAAACAACAAACAAACAAACATGAGCGTTGCCCTTTTGCAGATAACGTCTTCAAAAAGATGATATTGTTTTTCAATGAAAACCATAACGTATGGTAACTTCGTTTTGCACCATTCCTATTTGCAACATATCCACTGGGCCTAGACGTCGATTTTCACCAATCCGTGACATTGCGTGAGCGTTATTTAGGTGAAACAAACGTGTTTTTACGTCAAAATGGGTATAACATGCTTTATTCAGATGCAACTGAACTGCACTCTGGGTGTTGAAAATGCGACATATTTACATAATTTTATCTCCTCCACCCCTCCACCCCCCAACCACCCCCGAATGTGTGGACTGTAGTTAGTGCTTTTTCTGAGCGCACACCGCGACTCGGGACACTTGTTTGTATTACCGGGGTACACATCAGGTGACCCAGTGTATTTTACTCGAGCACAACCCTGGGCTTTGTATCATGACTTTTACTGGTAAAGTAGGTCACAACAGGCCCCGTACTGAGTCTCAAAGGTCATCTCTCTTTCTCTCTCTCTCTCTCTCTCTCTCTCTCTCTCTCTCTCTCTCTCTCTCTCTCTCTCTCACTCTCTCTCTCTCTCTCTGTCTGTCTGTCTGTCTGTCTCTCTCTCTCTCTGTGTGTCTGTCTCTCTCTCTGTCTGTCTGTCTGTCTGTCTGTCTGTCTGTCTGTCTGACTGTCTGTATGTCTGTCTCTCTCTGTCTGTCTGTCTCTCTCTCTCTCTCTCTCTCTCTGTCTCTCTCTGTCTCTCTCTCTCTCTCCTGGAAGTTAAACTACTTCATAACATTTACTTTTCTCTATATTAAGTTATTACATGCCAAGATACAAGAGGCAAGAGAAAGATAGTAAAAGGTTTTAATTTCCGAAATCTTGCGAGAACCAGGCCCAGGAAATCCCTGTGGATAAAAGATATTTGTCACAATACTCCTATACGAGATTTGAAAACTACGAAATACCAGGTTGCGACGGGATTTCAGGAGGACACTTAAAAAAGTTAAAAAGGATATATCTCATCCATACATGTAACTCTATTTAATAAAATCCTCACATCTGGCAAATTTCCTAATGAATAGAATGATGTAAAGCTATAATCTGCCCGTAACACAAAAAAGGTTCAAAAAGCCACTTTTACAATTACAAAGGAGTTTCTTAACTGAACGTTTTATGTGTCACAGAATGTGTGATTGCCAAATATACTTGTAGAGCCAAGTATACATACACAGAGTAATGGCTTAAATATTTCCGGGGATGATATCTCTTTTAAACCAATAAAAATGGAGCACACATTCTCTTTCATTTTACAATGTGTTAAACCAGTACAGTCGAAGCAAGACAGATATTGTTTCCGAACTGACACTGCTCTTATACTGAAATATACATTGATGATTGACATTGTTATCATGACCATCGTTATGACAAATGTTTTATCATATAATGCTATATTGTACTTACACGCAGATAAACTACAAAGTTGGCATTTGGACATCTCAAATTTCTCAAATAAAACCAAAATTCGTTTCACATGGAACCATAAGGTGCTAAGCAATGTAACCATTCTAAAACAGTGGCTATCCTCTCAAATGTTCCTTGGAATGGCTTTGCACTTGAAAGGGGGAGCATTATTGGCAATGCCCATTATTCCTATCAGTGGTTGCAGCGTTCCACTCGGAGGGACGAACTTGAACCTCTGAATCAATGTGGTAAGAACCAGGAACAGTTCCATGCGGCCTAGTGACTCCCCAGGACATGCTCGGCGTCCTGCAAACCAGATTAAACACGAGGAAAGATCATTAAATGATGTACACGAATGACATATCTTTTGTTTAGCAGAGTTGTGGGTTTTGACTACACATGTATGTTTCATACATTATTAGTTCATGTTGTAATACATGAAGAAAACGAATGATGGTCGACTATATTGTCTCGGTTAACATGGTAATGTCTATGTGCATAGTGTGTGCAATAGGGACAACTTTTCTCAGAAACTACTGACATTAAACAAAAAACAACCAACCAATCCTTATAGGACTCTTGTTTATAGGTCACTACAATGTGAACAAACTCAATTTAACGTGCCCATTTGCGGAGGGTAGTGATAACGCTGTTTTCCAGATTTGAATATTGAGTTTGATACATGAGTTCTCACGTTAAATATTCTATTGCTTATTATTATTAAAAACGTCAGGCAGCAAAAAACGTTGATACCATCAGCAAAAGATGCTTACCTAGAGAAAAAGCAACTAATTCATCCCTCTTCCGGAATTTCCCTTCATGGTCAAGGAAGCGTTCAGGTCTGAAATTTTGTGGATCCCCCTACGTTGCCGGATCATGAAGCACAGAGTTCAACATAGGAATAATAGTGACACCCTTTGGAAACGTGTAGCCATGGAACTGGACATCGTGGGGGACTGTGTGTGGCACCCCTGTGGGTACCATGTCTGCGTGTCTCAGGACTTCTGAAAGCGTGGCTTCTACGTAAGAAAGGCTGGTCTTGTCCTTCATGGAGGGTCGTCTGTTGAACCCGACGTGTTCTTGGATCTCCTGGAAACACTTCTCCTGAACTTCCGGGTAATGCAGTAGGTGTAGTAGTGACCATTTGATGCTGTTGGCATTATCAAACGTTCCGGGTGTGAAGATATCAGTCAGAACCATCGATAGGTGACTTTCTAAACAGAAATGATAATGCATTAATTATTAAGACAATGCACAAAATGTATGACGATGGATGGATTCAATGACTTTTTCATTTCTTCAGTTTTTTAAGTTTTTCACTGATGGATCTTTATGCTTTGTATAAAGGTGCCATCGGAGATATTGTATCTATAAAAAAGATACAGAATTGTCAAATAAAAGCGATAAAATTCTTAGAGTTTGAAATCCAAAAGGACATTGTATGATTCTGACTAAATCAAAAACATCAAAGACAGGTGTTTTTTTAAAGCCGTCCTTTATACTGAAAGTATTTATTCCCATTTGCTTATAAATGTATACCATAAATACACTAACTCATAATATATAATTCATTTTACCATCAAAAGTCTCGTCTCTTTGCTTGCGGTGTCGCACCTCTTTGAGGAAAGCGGAAGTGAAGTCTTCAACGGGTCCATCTTCGTCGTAGTTGTTGACGTGTTCCTCAATGTGTTTAGCTACTTCCTTCTCCAGTATTTGGATGTTTCTCATAAGGCGTTTATAGTTAAAGAAATCTCCCGGTAGAAATCTCACAGCTGGAAACACATCCAAAACGTTAGCAGCTCCTAAATCAGTAAACATCTCCTCTACTGCGTCTAGCAGCCTGATGAATCGTGGGTCATTGTATTCATAATGCTTTCCGAAACAAAGGTCAGAAACGATATTAGACGTAGCATTGTGGACAAGTCGTTTACAATCAAACTCATTCGAACCTTCATCCTCAAATGCTTTCAAAAGTTTATCCAGTTCTTGCTGTATTTTCTCTTCTATGGTTCCCACCCTTCCGATCGTAAAGTTGTGTAAGTTTCCCTAAGACTGAGAACGGGTGTTTGATCGTAAAGATGTGTAAGTTTCCCTAAGACCGAGAACGGGTGTTTGATTGTAAAGATGTGTAAGTTTTCCTAAGACCGAAAACGGGTGTTGGATCGTGAAGCGAGAGTCACCAGAGCGTGAGGCACGGTAACGGTTTAACGAGACAGCGGTGGCACTATAGCGCGGTAATTGAGCGGATGGTAGAGCTCGGGCTGCGCCCGGTAAACTGCATTGTTGCCCCAAACGATTCCGAGTAGACGTCAGTTCGAGGGCACACTGTGGTGCACTGGGCTACAAAAAGCATCAGCGAGATAACCTACATTTATTCGGCAACTAGACATGGCAGCCATGTTAAATCAAAGCAAATTTCAGTTCAGTATAAGAGCAGTGTCAGTTCGGAAACAATATCTAATGTCTTGCTTCGACTGTCCTGGTTTAACACATTGTAAAATGAAAGAGAATGTGTGCTTCATTTTTATTGGTTGAAAAGAGATATCATCCCCGGAAATATTTAAGCCATTACTCTGTGTATGTATACTTGGCTTTACAAGTATATTTGGCAATCACACATTCTGTGACACATAAAACGTTCAGTTAAGAAACTCCTTTGTAATTGTTAAAGTATCTTTTTGAACCTTTTTTGTGTTACTGGCAGATTATAGCTTTACAACATTCTATTCATTAGGAATATTTGCCAGATGTAAGGATTTCATAAATAGAGTTACATGTATGGATGAGATATATCCTTTTAACTTTTTTAAGTGTTCTCCTGAATCCCGGCGCAACCTGGTATTTCGTAGTTTTCAAATCTCGTATAGGAGTATTGTGACAAATATCTTTTATCCACAGGGATTTCCTGGGCCTGGAGAGACAGACAGACAGACAGACACACAGAGAGAGAGAGAAAGAGAGATGACCTTTGAGACTCAGTACGGGGCCTGTTGTGACCTACTTTACCGGTGAAAGTCATGATGTGCCAGCTTAATGTGGGAGGAAAGCCCGAAGTGATGCATGTCTAAGACGTTTACCACTTCGGTGAAACCCACGAGCACGGGTATGGTGCTGACAAACCTAGAAACATAATCGGGGCGAACCGGGATTCGAACCCACAATCATAGGTTGCTGGCGTGCCAAAGGGTCGCAACTCTGCACACAGAATCGCGGCGCCTTAGACGACTGGGCCACCCGTGCCCCCTTACACATTCAAAGCCTCAGCCTTGATTTCAAAAGGTTTTATGGTAGACATATAGAGGAGATTTGACGCATCGGTAGTAAAAATTGTGTCCGGTGCAATTTCTTATTTTGACTTGTGCCATATATTCCTCAGCAGGTGTCACATTGATTTTATGAATATCGTTTTCAAGCACATGTTCGCAGGCAAAATATATTTTACACCCGTTATCTATAGTTCATAGATAGTGTGTAAGAGACATAAAATTGTTGATCAAAGTTGTTTCAGATTTGTTCTACGTCTTTTAAGAGAGATGAAAAATGTCTGTCGGATTTGGTTATATTGTACACACTCAGGGTCGGTCATGAAAGGGTGTTCAGTTTGCTTGCTGCACGTGGTCTTTCCCTCAAACGTTGTCTTCAAATTCATTGTATACCGCTAAGCTATTGTTTCACCATAAGGAATCACGAATTTTTGTTTTGTTTTCCTGGTATTGCTTGGATTTAGACGGTTTATAAAACACTTCAGTTATAGCAGTCGTAACACGTATTCTATATAATGCGTGAATCTTGCAGGTGCATTACGTGCTAAAACTTCAAACTTGCACAATTATATGGTGACTGCTGTATACATTTTGACACAAATAATATACCTTAATATATAAACGAGAGGCACTGATAACAAGAAATGCGGAGTGTGAAACATATGTAACATTACTTCCATGTATCCATTTATAAATTGTATTCGCGAACACCTGGTATCATCATTATTTGATAGGGATACAAAAGCAAGCACATACTTATGACATAGTAGGAATCGGACACTTGACACCACGTGTTTATATCCACTACACGCATTATTTAATACATACATCGACCTCTACATCCACGTGTTTACATCCACTACACGCATTATTTAATACATACATCAACCTCAACATCCGCGTGTTTACATCCACTACACGCATTATTTAAAACATACATCGACCTCTAAATCCACGTGTTTACATCCACTACATCCATTATTTAAACATACATCGACCTCAACATCCGCGTGTTTACATCTACTACATCCATTATTTAAACATACATCGACCTCTACATCCACGTGTTTACATCCACTACACGCATTATTTAAAACATACATCGACCTCTAAATCCACGTGTTTACATCCACTACATCCATTATTTAAACATACATCGACCTCAACATCCGCGTGTTTACATCTACTACATCCATTATTTAAACATACATCGACCTCTACATCCGCGTGTTTACATCCACTGCACGCATTATTTAATACATACATCGACCTCAACATCCGCGTGTTTACATCCACTACACTCATTATTTAATACATACATCGACCTCTAAATCCACGTGTTTACATCCAATACACGCATTAGTTAATACATATATCGACCTCTACATCCGCGTGTTTACATCTACTACATCCATTATTTAAACATACATCGACCTCTAAATCCGCGTGTTTACATCTACTACATCCATTATTTAAACATACATCGACCTCTACATCCACGTGTTAACATCCGCTACTCGCATATTTAAAACATACATCGACCTCTAAACCTGCATGTTTCAATACTGGAAATTCACAGTTGCGTGAACTGTTTTACCTGGACATGTTACCCCGGTCTTGTACTCACAGGACGAAATGTGAAGATTCGGGTGAGAATATGTTTTTCACCAACCCATGCTTGTCGTAAGAGTCGATTACCGGGATCGGGTTAGCATTGGTCTTCAGAAATCGATTTGTAAGAGGCGACTAACGGGATCGGGTGATCAGGCTCGCTGACTTGGTTGATGCATGTCATCGTATCCCAACTGCGGTGAATAATTATGTCAGTCACTAGATTGTCAGGTGCAGACTTGGTTTACAGACCGACCTCATATGGCTGAAACTGGTTGAATGAACATACAACAAATAAAAGGATATATTGCAGAATGCGGCTTTAAAAAACAAACAATTTTTTTTACAAATCTGACATGATAATATAACATTACCACCAAGACACTCATGTCAAGGTGACGTTGTCCCAATAGCTGACTGACACAGTAACAATCTAATAAAAATCAGACCTCAGTTCTCGCTACCGCTAAACAAAGATCCGGGGACATCCCATTAGGGGTCACGTCAGAACGACCTTTCATCCGACCAATCAGAGCATCGATTATGAAAGTGACAGTCGGAATGTGATTTCTAATCATGCATCCTCGAAGACTTTAACCCCGAACGATAGTTACGGGTTTAACGACTGAATCCATACAATCTAGACCACCTGTTAGCCTTTCTAGAATGTTCTTTTGTTCAGGTTTCAAATTTGTAATCGAGAATTTGCCAAAATATGTTTCGAAGCGTGGTCGCCAATTGAAAATAGTGCCGTAAAGCACGAGAAAGCTGCCTTCTGATTGGTCATTCCATTGGTCGGTCCAAGTTGGCGCAAGGTCGGTCTGACGTGACCCGTATGGGATGTCCTCAGATCTTTGTTTAGCTGTAGCGAGAACTATGATCTGATTTTAATGAGATTGGCACAGTAACAACACTCATTGTTGTCAGGTGTTTGTCATAAATAGAATAGATAAGTATCGGTACTTCGCAGTTAAGAGCAGATGGCACCCTTTCAGATATACACTAGACTGTGCTGGTATGTGTTTGAGGAGGAGAAAAAATGACACAGAGGTCTAAGTCACCACAGCATGATAGAAGCCATCCTCAATAGGTCCTCCCAAATAAGCATCACTCACACTAACAATGACACCCAAAATGTATTAGTGAGTGAGTGAGTTGGGTTTAACGCCGCTTTTAACAGTATTACAGTTATATCGCGGCGTGTCAGCTTAATGTGGGAGGGAAGCCCGAAGTGATGCAGGTCTTAGACGTTTCCCATTTCGGTGAAACCCTCGAGTACGGGTATGGTGCTGAAAAACCTAGAAACATAATCGGGGCGAACCGAGATTCGAACCCACAATCATAGGTTTCCGGCGTGCCTAAGGGACGCAACTCTGCACAGCGAATCGTGGCGTCTTAGACGACTGGGCCACCCGTGCCCCCCAAAATGTATCAGCATGTATCCGAATTTATATCAGTTTTGTGGACAAACATTGTCACAAACTCTGCAAACACTAATGGACATGCCCTGCTCCACAACCCGAACAATGATTGAAGTGTGCGCAACATTAGACTACAGTATCCCATCGTGGATTCTCAGGCCTCACTCTAATGGAGTCAGGCAGGAATCATCAAAATTGCAGATTTCTTCTGGCTTAAATATGTAACGAAATATTTCTAAGACCTCACTAATTGATCGATGACTTAAGGAAATATTCTTTTGTCTGAAACATTTATGGTGGTAACAAATACTCCCTTTTGATGTGATGGTTTCAATAAACACCGACCGCTTACACTTTTTTTAACAAGAGTCCAACATTGGACATCCGTGAGAAGGACTGAACACTGCTTCTGAGAGTCAATCTCTCCATAAAACGAGGAAACGAGCACCACCCTCATTTTCAGTTTAAGTCCAACTTGTCATGAAAACATAAAAAAAAAAATTAAAATCCAAAATCATCAAAAGGCATCAGTGCACCACGAGACTGATCCGAAAAGCAAGGGTGTTGCTCCAGATAACAGACGGACATCGGACATGCTGATCGCTATAAATCGCTATAAAATCTACTTAAGAAGAAATTGGTTGAATTAACATACAACAAATAAATATTGCATAAGGAGACCCATTCGGACAGCGGTTATTGTTAATACATTCAAAAGCATCCTCTGATAATATACATGTTTACTGACGACGCGTTCTAGTTCTTCTTATGAAATGTACTTAAGCCTATATACACAAGCATATAAGAAGACGTGTACGCACATTTATGTGAAAAGAAATCACTCGTTTGTCAAAACATGTTTATGTTTTAATGTTTTTATCTGGAAAGCCTTGAAGGGCTTCAACTGATCTGGGATATCATTTACACATGGCCCTTGGTACAGCCCGAATCGTAAAGGTGGGAGCTGCATTGGTAATGCCAAGTACTCCTTTCAAAGGTGTTAACGGTCCATCGTCTGGGAGGAACTGGAACTTCTGTATCATGGCCACCAAGAACAGGAACAACTCCATACGGGCCAAGGACTCTCCAAGACACACTCTGCGACCTGAAGATGAATGAGTTAGTGAGATAGCGCAAATCAATCTGAAGTAGTGTCATTGTTGCCTGTCTCAAAGTTATCATATACGAGTGTTGCCAGTTCATGATGAGATAAGCTTTACCTTTGATATTTGTCGACCGGTAATGTGAAGAAATGTTACAGCATGGTTTGTGTGAAATGTAACTGCATAATTACCCATAGAGAAGGGGATGAACTCATCTCTCTTCAGGTACTTCCCTTGGTCATCTAGAAATCGCTCGGGTCTGAAGTTTTGTGGATCACCCCACACAGTTGGATCATGCAGTACCGACTCCAAATTTGGTACGACAGTCACGCCCTTGGGGAACGTGTAGCCCCGAAACTGGACGTTGTGGAGTACACCGTGAGGAACTGCAAGTGGGGCTATGGTTGAGCATCTATGGACCTCGCTGATGGTGGCTTCGACGTAGGGAAGATCGGTCTTGTCCTTCATACTAGGTTTTCTACTTTCGCCGATGTGTTCTTGTATCTCCCTGAAACACTTCTCCTGTACTTCCGGGTTGTGCAGGAAGTAAAGAAGAGTCCAACGGATTGTGGTCGCTGTTGTCTCAGTTCCAGCTATGAATAAATCTCTCACCGTTTTCACCAGGTGACCTCCTAACAGAACAAAAAAACATGACAATCAGCAGAAAGGCAGCATACAGTGGATACTCAGTCGATTTTTTTTGGGCCAGACATAACTGGAATAGTCAATTGATGCACGAGAGAACGGCAAAACGATCATCAGCATAGAAACAGGTTTACTCCTTTCAGAAATATATTTTCTCTACAAGAAATATGTTTGCGTAAGCACATTGTTTCTGCTTAACATTGATATTGTATTTTAATTCAAGATGAGGTGAAATGGGGTTTAACGTCGCGTTCAAAATGTTTGCATTTACACGTGTTTTTTTGGTGTGTGTGTGTGTGTGTGTGTGTGTGTGTGTGTGTGTGTGTGTGTGTGTGTGTGTGTGTGTGTGTGTGTGTGTGTGTGTGTGTGTGTGTGTGTGTTCTAGTCCGGACTAATGCCGTTTTCATAGTGCTTGCCCACTGAGATACCACCTCTAACGTCTTTTGGTATGACGCGGCCGGGAATCGAACCCACGACCTTCCGCTCTCCGGGCAGACACTCTATCCAATTTAGGCTTAACCTCAAATGTAAATATAATTCCATATAATCATGGAGTATGGTGTTATTAAGATAGTTCTTTGTCAACTTACTATCAAACGTCTCGTCGCTCCCACGGAGTTTCATTTCCTTGATGTAAGCTGTGATGAAATCGTCCACATTGTCTTCGTCGTAATTATTGAAATGTTCCTCAACATCTTTTTCAATTTCACCCTTTTCTACTATAGCAATATTTTGCATAAGTTTTTTAAATTTGAAAAAGTCTCCTGGGATAAATCTCACAATTGGAAACATGTTCAGGATGTTTGCTGCCCCGAGTGTCGCCAAGATTATATCTGTAGATTTTAAGAACTTTACAAACCTCGGATCAGTATATTCGAATTGCTTCCCCAAACAAACAGCGCATATGATATTGGCCACGGCGTTGTGCACGAGTCGTTTACAGTCAAAGGCAAGTCCATCCTTGTCCTCAATTGCTTTCAAGAAGACCGTCAACTCGTCGTGTATTTTGGCCTCCAGCAGGGACCTCCCCATCCCAAAATCTCTGAGTGTTGTTAAAGCAAATTTTCTTTGTTCTTTCCAGTGGGCACCTGAGGTCCCCGCTACCCCTGAAATGGTGAAAGTAAGGTGAGGTGAAATGTCGCGCTGAAGATTATTTCACTCATATTGTCACTTGTATGCACGTGTGTAATTTGGCTGCTTGTACTCGTCCGGACTTTTGCCGATTTTATAGTACTAGCCTACTGACATACCATGCGGCAGTTTAACATGGATACACCATTCAGAAACATTATACTGACAACGAGCTGGCCTCTCCCGTTGTTAACCTCCTATTCCAAGCGCAATGAGAAAAAGATCACAAAATACCATTTCACATACCTTTGCCTCGTGCAAAAAACTCCGTAATAAACGATTTTGGTCTTTCTGAGAAAACGTCACCATTCTTGACAAGGGCCTCTTTGATGGCGCTGTACCCGCTCAGGACAATAACTGGCTCATTGAAGATGTACACGCTGAAGATGTCGCCGTATTGACGTCGCAGTTTGCTGAAAGTCACTCGGGGATCGGCATCCATTTGAAAAATGTTGCCCACCAGTGGCAGAAGAGGGGGGCCGGGGGGAAGACCGGGGAGACGCCGCGTTGACAGCCACAGAATTAGTAATACAGTGATACACACCAGTATCAGAGATGTATTAAACATCAACAGTCCCGCCAATAGAGTTATGGCTGCCAAAGTTGCAGCAGAGCCGGAGCTGACCATACTTGCAGCCGTACGTATGTAGTGTCTACGGTAAACTGCCTTGTTATTATCGCTCGCTACACGTTCCCCGGCACGAGGCGAGGTTAGGAGGTGGAGAGTTGTTTTGGTGTAAACTAGGTCATTGTGGTGTTGTTGTTCTCTTTGGGCCGTGTGCAGGGTGACACCGAGAAGTGCCAGTACACGTGGGCCCAGGGAAGAATTGGGTTACATAGACTGGCGGCAAGTGTTGGACGACACGAGACATGAAACTGGTATTGTTTATGGACTCAATGAATCAATCAATGAATCAATCAAAATAAAGAGGCCAATCGTCTATAGTGATGTGAGGTGAAATGGAGTTTACCGTCGCGTCCAAGATTATTGCACTTATATTGTGACTTGCATGCACATGTGTGTGTGTGGGGGGGGGGGGGGGGGGGGGGGGGACTGATGCCGATTTTATGTCCAAGCACACTGAGATACCATACCGCAGTTTAACATGAATACCCCACTCAGGCAGCCGAGCGCCAGACAGGGTAGCAACAAGTACTATCTTTTAACGTTTTTGGGTATGACGCAAACGCACTGCTACTAGACCACGAAGGTGACCCAGGTCTATAAAGTGCATACGACAGTGGTATTGCACACAATTTGAACTATTATTTACAAACTGGGTTATGTATAACAGTGCGTGGTACATATACATAGTTGGTTGGTAGTCTGTCCAAGGTCCGATTTGCAAGTTTGAAAGTCTGGTCTAGTGTTTCCTTGTTTGTTTGTTGTTTAACGCCGCACTCAGCAATATTCCAGTTATATGACAGCGGTCTGTAAATAATCGAGTCTGGACCAAACAATCCAGTGGTTGACATCATGAGCATCGATCCACGCAATTGGGATCGATGAGATGCATCAACCAAGTCAGCGAGCCTGACCACCCGATCCCGTTATTCGCCACTTACGACAAGCATGGCATGCTGAAGACCTATTCTACCCCGGATCTTCACGGGTAACATTTACATGGTCACGTTTTGCATTATTAATGTTTATAGCCTGGTTAACATTTGCCGGAAATTATTTCATAATAGTTGGATCATCAACGTGGTATACAGGAATATTTTTTTCTCACAATGTAGTACAATGGGCATACAAGTGAAGAGTGATATTTATCCTCTGTCTTGGCTATTACACATTTTACATAATCGTTCTGACCTTGGGGTTCTAGGGCGCGTTGCAAGCCACGAATCGCTTAGAGAAAGCAAGTTCATCGCTCAACCCGGGGTCTGCAACAGTTCGAAGCGCTTGCGCACTCTTCCAAAATGGCGGCGCAACTACCGCTTGGTTGCCTTGACGTTTGTTTGTTTGTTGTTTAACGCCGCACTCAGCAATCTTCTAGCTATATGACGGCGGTTTGTAAATATTCGAGTCTGGACCAGACAATCCAGTAATTGCCATCGTGAGCATCGATCAACGGAATTTAGACACAATGACATGCATCAACCAAGTCAGCGAGCCTGACCACCCGATCCCTTTAGTCTACTCTTACGACAAGCATGGGTTACTGAAGACCAATTCTAACCAAGATCTTCACTGGGGCTCACATGTACTAGTCAAATAACACGTCTGGCATGAAATAATTGTCAATCAGTTGGTAGGAAACTGTTTCATAGGCCATGTCCCGTGAAACCATTTTCCTGAGGCAAGGGAGTTAACTGACTTTAAAAGGTCCCACTAAATAACTAACATTTCTGATCGTCGCTTCACCAGTGGCTGTTACGAGTTACGTCCCTTCAATTTACCACACTACTGGCCGTTCAGAATCCAGCTCATGTGATTCATGTGCATGTACCCACTCAAGACGATTTCATCGATAATAAATATACATATTGCAATAAAACGGGGTTTACCTTGCAAAGTGCATCAAATCGCTTGAGCATCTTGATTTAAAACATGAAAGGATTTATCTTTCTACGCCTAGTTAATGTTATACTTGCTCTGCAAATCCTGCAATCGAACGAATTCGGCACGGGAGTTGCCATGTTGTTTGCGAACCGGATGTCAATTTCGTACGTGTTTTTAATTTGACTATGCATTAGCATGTGTTTATCAATCACTATCAAATAGTCATGATACCAGGGGTTTGCGAAAAGGTGAACGTATCCTTCTCAGACGGTGGATACCAGCACAAACACACGCAAAGGCAAGTAAACTGTTCACCTGAAAAAAAAACACACGTGAAGTAATGTAATGGGACCGCGGACGTCTATTGTTAAGCTGCTGACAGTCATGACATTTTTTGTTGGAGGTTGTTTCATTGTTTGTATTTCCAAAACCTCTAACTTGTGTTATCAGACTATATCTGATCGTGTATAAGTTTGTGTGTGTCATCAGTAACATGTGTGCCAGTTTCCTCAGAATGTATTACTGAAACACAAAGAGAAGTAAATAATGTGCTTAAAGTAGGTTCTCTGATAAGTTGTTTCGTTAGGAAGTTGTATGGATGTCAAGTGATTTGTTTTTCACCAAAACTATTTTAAACTGAACTGATCGCAGAAGATCCGTATAACAGCAGTGTGCTGTATCTGAGATAGGTAGTGTTTTCATTCTAACTGGCTAACTGAAAAAAAGAAGAGTGTTTATCCGTAGTTTCTATTGTGCCCAATGCCAATATTATCTACCATGCCAAATTCACTATTGACAACTGAGACATACAGGTAAACTCTAAAAGGTAGTATTTTTTGCGCTCGGAATAAACAGCGGCATGGTATCTCAGTGGGCAAGTACAATAAAATCGGCAAAAGTCCGGACAAGTACAAGCGGCCAAATTGTACTTCAGGTCTTCAGCAACCCATTCTTGGCGTAAAAGGTGACTATGCTTGTCATAAGAGGCGAATAACGGGATCGGGTGGTCAGGCTCGCAGTCTTGGTTGATGCATGTCGTCGTATCCCAATTGCGTGGATCGATGCTCAAAACGTCAATCACTGGAGTGTCTGGTCCAGACTCGATTATTTACAGAGCGCCGTCACATAGCTGGACCTCCTGATTGCGACGTTAAACAACAAACAAACCATACCATCATGCCTTAACTTGCAACTAACCCTTACGTGATAAATATTGGGACAGGCAAAGTATTATACATCAATAGTTTGATTTCCGCAAACTCACTCATTCATTTTCAGGTCACAGAGTGTGTCTGAGAGTCTTTGACAATGGACCATTGACCTCCTTGAAGGGAAAATTTGGCCTTACTAATACAGCTCCTACCTTTTCGTGAATAATGTGAATTCATGTGAATAATTTTCATCCAAGTTCAGTTCATTTTCAAGGATTCACAGAAAAAACGTTAATACATAAACATTTTTTGACAACAAGTGATTTCTTTCCGTATACACGTGGGTTCACGTCTTGCATTTTGTCATGCTATATATAGGCATAAAATAATTTGGTAAGAAGAACGAGATAGCGTCTCCTTTAGTGAGTGAGTGAGTGAGTGAGTTTGGTTTTACGCCGCTTTTAGCAATTCCAGCAATATCACGGCGGGGGACACCAGAAATGGGCTTCACACATTGTACCCATGTCGGGATTCGAACGCTTTAACCACTAGGCTACCCGACCGCCCCTGTCTCCTTTAGACACGTATATTAGACTATATTGATTTTAGTGACAATGATTTGTTGGAAGACCATTTGTTTAACCTAACGTCAATTTAGCTTGAACAGAAAAGTACAACATTGAATAAATAGTTTATTCTGAGTTACATATAGCATATAAGGGACTGGTGTATAACTTGATTAAAGATACAGAACTAAAGGAATGAATTTAATTGACAGTTATCAGCTGGCAAAATATTAGCCTCGATATGTTTTGATTCAGATGTGTCAAACATGTCACATGAAGTGGTGTTGATTCTTTGTTTGTTTGTTTCGTTGTTTGTTTAACGCTGCAGTCAGTAATGCTCTATATCACGCCCTGTAAAGACAAGTCTGGTTCAGTGAGTGAGTGAGTGAGTGAGTGAGTGAGTATGGTTTTACGCCGCCTTTAGCAATATTCCAGCAACATCACGACGGGGGACACCAGAAATGGGCTTCACATATTGTATCCATGTCGGGAATCGAACCCGGGTCTTCGGCGTGACGAGCGAACGCTTTAACCACTAGGCTACCCGACCGCCCCAAGTCTGGTTCAGATGAACAGTTGCAAGTATTTGATGTATAAGCAAGTCGTGGAACGTTACTCATGGAACTTTTTATGGTTATATGGAGATTACAGACGAGGTGAGGTGAAATGGGGTTTAACGTCGCGTCCAAGAGTATTGCACTTATATCGCGACGTGCATGCACGTGTGTGTGTGTGTGGCTCTTGCACTAGACCGTCTGATGCCGATTTATAGTGCTAGCCCACTGAGATACCATGCCGAAGTTTAACATGAATACCCCACTCTGACACAGTATACTGACTCCGAGCCGACCAGTCCTTGTTTTAGTCCCTTAATGCCGAGCGCCAGACAGGGTAACAACAAGTACCATATTTTAACGTCTTTGGTATGACGCGGCCGGGGGTCGAACCCGGACCTTCCGCTCTCCGGGCAGACGCTCTACCACTAGACCACGGAGGCGGTCGACATGGAGATTACAAGACCAATGAGTAGTTATTTTGCCCTTGGTATTGCCTTCATGTTGAACTGCTGCGGGCGGTAGACGATGCCGGGCAGTCCCTGTAGAGATGGGCTCACCCCGTCTACAGGCCGGAATTCGAACTCCTGTATCATGCTGGTGGTAAAGAGGAAGAGTTCCATTCGTGCCAAGGCCTCGCCAAGGCATGCTCGGTGACCTGAAAATAACACACAGAGAACATTAAGCTGGGGTCTGGATAATTAGGAAATATTATATACAGAAAAACTATAAACAGGCCATTATACTGACAAAAACAGGTATCGTATGTGCCGATACTTATACCGACAGATGAAGAGCTGTATAAACAGATCCTAATACTGACAGAGACAGGGATCGTATAAACAGATCCTTACGCCGACAGAGACAGGGATCATATAATAAATACAGATGCTTATGCCGACAGAGACAGGGATCATATAATAAATACAGATGCTTATGCCGACAGAGACAGGGATCATATAATAAATACAGA